GATTGTAAACGAAAAGTTTGCAGAATACAAACTTGGATAGAAAATAGGTAGTGGGATGTGAATTTCGGTGAAGATCCCCCCCCCCCCCCCGCATTGCATTTTAAAGCATATATGAGTCAGAATGGACTTACGAATAAAGACATGTGAAACTGATGTGGACCAGAAGTTGAATGATCTGTCCATCCCTAACAGTTATAGGAGGAAGCTGTTTCTTTTTTGAAGCATATGTCAAGAAAGCTTTAAATGAACATAGAGGATTTGAAAGAGTGTGATCTGGATTCCGGATTAGAATAGTGAGCAGTTTTATCTGGTCAAAGAGAAAGTAGCACAAATCTGACAGTTTTTCTACAAACCCTGAATAAAATGGTTTGCTCCAGAAACTACTTCAACTTCCCATCTTGAAAAGGCAACATGTAAATTCTCTGAGCGGTTCATTTCTCAACAGAGAAGCTGTCTTCAGCGATATTTCTTTGTCCTGCGAGGACTGGTAGATTTAATAAAAAGAAAAGGTAAGTCAATAATATTGATTTATAATACCTCTTGTGCTGCTTCCTGCATATTTCCCCTTTTTGCTCACGGTTACATCTTGTTGTTGTTTGAAACTTGTTTGTGGTGACTACATAACAGATGAAATATATCTATTTCCCACAATTGTAGCTTTTGAGCATGCATTCAGTAATGCCGTTAGATGTAATCTTTCCTGCACTGCTTGGCAAGTAATATGTGAGCACATTTGGCTGCAATATGTGAGGGCATCTCTGTAGTTGTCTCATAATAGCAAATGGGATAATTGGAAGTACTTATAAGGACGAAATCTCAAGAGTTAGTAGTAGAAATTCCAGGACTTATTTGTACAGAACCATAGTTAACTTAAGGGATGCAGGTGGCGCTGTGGTCTAAACCACAGAGCCTAGGGCTTGCCGATCGGAAGGTCGGCAGTTCGAATCCCTGCGACTGGGGTGAGCTCCCCTTGTTTGGTCCCTGCTCCTGCCAACCTAGCAGTTTGAAAACACATCAAAGTGCAAGTAGATAAATAGGTACCGCTCTGGCGGGAAAGTAAACGGCTTTTCCGTGCGCTGCTCTGGTTCTCCAGAAGCGGCTTAGTCATGTTGGCCCCATGACCCGGAAGCTGTACGCCAGCTCCCTCGGCCAATAAAGCGAGATGAGCACCGCAACCCCAGAGTCGTTTGCGAATGAACCTAAGGTCAAGGGTCCCTTTACGTTAGTTGTTGTTGCTGCTGCTGCTATTGTTGTTGTTTATTAAAGTTCTTTACTGCCCTTCATCTGAAGATAACATGGCAGTGTACAAGATTAAAGCACAAAAATGCATACAATAATAACAAACAAAAACAGTTTAAAAGGCCACATAAATTGTTTAATTAGCCAATGGCCTGGGAGAAGAGGAATGTTTTTGCTTGCCTCCTAAAGAAACTTAATGCAGGCACCAGGTGAGCCTCTCTGGGACTTTGTCAGTGTATGACTAGCATTGGATATCATCTTATATCTTTTCCAGTTGTTGGCGATTTTTAGCATTTACCAAATGATGGGAATTCAGTCAAGTTGCCTGGATAAATCTGGTTATAGGCCACCCCCAGTATTGGTTCTGTGTTCTAAATCACAACAGAAAGCAAGGTGCTAAAATTTACATTTAGGCATTTGCTTAAGACAAACCCTATCCCAGTGTTAGAAACTGAGATATGAAAGCTAGGAGCTAAATTGCACCTTAAATCTAGGTTTTAGGCGCTGCAACAGAATGTCTAAGCATGCTTTTTTGTAACAAGAATACAAAGCTGAAAATGAATGAACTGCAGCTAAAATTTTCTATTCATTTTTCACATAGTCTAGTCCTCATCTGAAGACTGCGAAAAACAAAGCCATACTTCGCCTGCCAGTCCCCGTAATATACTTATGAGGCTACTCTCTCCAGTCCTCAGAGAGTGGCTGGAAGCAGGGAGGCAGAAAAAGGTCCTTCTTTTGTTCCAGCAGTGGCAGTTTGAAATCTCAGGCGCAGTACTGCTCCCAGAGCTCAGAAACTGCTCGCATTAATGAAATCCCCTGTTGCAAAATGTGCCTAGAACAATGGGAATTTCGAACGCTGATCCTATCTGTGGTCAACATGGCGGTAAGAGTTCTTTGCTCACCGTACACAAAGCTGAAACGAGCTGAAAATTAGTGAAAGAGTGCACGGGTTATTATGGTTTCTTGATTCATTCCTCTCTCTTCTTTGGACTAATGAAAATGCAAAGACAGTGGTACCTCCGGTTGCGGATGGGATCCGTTCCAGGGGTCCGGTTGGATCCTGAGGTTTCCACAACCTGAGGACTGCTTCTGCACATGCGCAGACTACTTCTGCGTATGCGCGCACGGCAAAACCCAGTAAAATACTTCTGGGTTTGCCACTCGTGCATCCCAAAGTTTACGTAACCAGAGGGTTACATAAATGGAGGTTCGACTGTAATTGGAGTGTGTGTGTGTGTGTGTGTGTGTGTGTGAGAGAGAGAGAGAGAGAGAGAGAGAGAGAGATTACAGGTTAACATGGTAAGTAAAGACTAACCCATTTTGTTCACCTTCCAGCTTTCCACAGGTGGCTGGATTTTTAATCCACTTCAAGCACTCAGGAAATAGTGATCAGTGACAAATTGCTAAAATATGCTGGACTTTGTTAGGCATGAAGGCAGGAATTGTTAACTTCAGAATACGTAACTGTGAACGGACTACCTGTCAAACCGTTTCAGGTAACCTTAGTTGTGTAAGCGAGTCTTTAAAAACTGCTCAGTACCTCCAGACTGAATGACAGGTTCAGTCATGTATACTGATGGAACCAGTTTATTACCTCTCTTTAAACTATACCAAATGCCTCGTATTAGTTATTCACCTCCTGAGCATTCTCATACCATGAGTGAACTGGCTTCTCCACCCCTAAGCTTGTTGCAACACATCTGTTTTACATTGTGCATGCCAGGTTTTGTTTTGTTTGCTTAAACCCTCAAGCCTGAAGTAGTCTCTGCTTTCCGCTCTCTGAATCATTTATTCTGCATTCCAGAGCAAAGTTATTTGCTAGGAGAAATGAGTGGAGCATTCCATTTAGTGCTGGGAGCATTTAAAAGCTGCTTCTAGGGAACACATTTGAGCTTACTGTGTGCCAGTACACCTATGAAAGCAGTTAGAAAGTGGATGCAACACACGGCAGTTGATCAATACGAAGTTTCCAAAGGTTTTCAAAATGCTCTTTCAGCTGTAGGCTTCATATTGATTGTAGTTGGCTAACTGTTGGAGCGCAGACTTCATAGGTTACAGTCTTTGTCTACAATAGTGGCGGGGGGTTGTGTGTGTGAGTGTGTGTGTGTGTGTGCGTGTGTTTGTGTTTAATATTTCATTTGATAATGATGGATGATTGCATACTTTGCTTTCAAACGGACAGCTCTAGCTCTCTGCAAGTGTAAATTTTTAAAAAACGGAAGCTTGCATTGATTAGTCTTGCTCATTGTTCTTCATAAATCATATGCAAACAAATTAAGATGTATTTGTAAGGTATACCACAAGCTTACTTCCCTGTGAAAATAAATTGCCATCTTAGTAACTGAAGCAGTGGTCGATACTGCAGTGGAAAGAGATCTCCCCACTCATAACATTCATGGCTATTGCTTAGCTTCCGAGCACTAGAATGGTAAAGCTAGAATCAGCCGTCGTGTTAGCTGAGAACATGTTATTTGGGGCACTGATTTGAAAAATCTGAAGCAAAACTCAGTTAAGGGAAATGTAAATTCCTTTATAAAGAAAAATCTACATGTGTAAATATCACATGGGGAGCAAATGTGTTTCTGAAACAAATGTATTTGCTATGCAGTCGCTCGGTTTTGATTAGCCCAGTTACATTTTCCTGCCATTTTTGCTAAGGCAAACAAGTTTCAAATTCATGCTTTACTAAAATTAATAAATGATTTTATTTAAGCATCAATGCACCAAAATGCAAGCTAACTTTTTCTCTGTTATGTAATTGGCTAGCTTAAAACAAGGGGATGATGAAAGGACCTTGTGAAATATTTAACTTTGTGTTTCCTGGTCATTTTAAATAACAGCAGACTGATATTTAGAGAGAATACCCACTAATCACATGTTTGAGGGATGCTTTGATACCTTTACAACTGCTAGTAGATTGCAATCCTACATTTATTCCTTTTTATAAGTCCCCTTAATCACGATAAATAAGTTTAAAAAGCATTAATCTGTTGTTGTGTTCTAAATTCTTCCAAGGTGATCATTATTTTATCTCTGTGACCTCAGTTATGTCTAATTTTTTCTGTTTCACAGAGACAGGTAATATCCCTGCCTCCAAGTCTGGTCCTGACCAGAAGGAGACATCAACAAGGCTTCACAGGAACTTAAGGTGGTGCTGTGTAATTATTATTATTATTATTATTATTATTATTATCATTATCATTATTATTATTATTTACCATTTATACCCCGCCCATCTGGCCGGGCCACCCTGGGCAGCCTCCAACAAAAATATTAAAATACCGTAACACATCAAACATTAAAAGCTTCCCTAAACCTTCAGATGTCTTCTAAAAGTCTCGTAGTTGTTGTTCTCTTTGTTTTCTAAAAGTCTCGTAGTTGTTGTTCTCCACAGGGCGGGTGCCACTACTGAGAAGGCCCTCTGCCTGGTTCCCTGTAACTTGGCTTCTCGCAGTGAGGGAACTGCCAGAAGGCCCTCGGAGCTGGACCTCAGTGTCCGGGTAGAATGATGGGGGTGGAGACGCTCCTTCAGATATACTGGGCCGAGGCCGTTTAGGGCTGTGTAATGTCAGGCCAGTGACCAGTGGGCATTTGAACCCTATTCTCCCAGTTCTTAGTCTGGCACTCTGACCACTATACCACAATGTGCCTGGTTGGAAAACCACTTGGGTTCCATACATTCAATTGTAGAGTTGGAAAGGAATCCTAAGGGTCATGTCATTTAGCCAAACCTGCGGCAATGCAGGAATCCTGTCCACAGCCATCCCTGGGTGGGTTCAAACCACCAACCTTCTGGTTAACAGCCAGCTACACTGACCCATTGCACCGCAGAGAGAAGAAAGGCAGGTTATAAATGTAAGTGAGGAGAGGAGCAGAATAACAAATGCATAAATAAATGTTAGTTCTTTTCCTTGTTCGAGGTTGATACATTAGCACCCAGAATTTTAAAATGTAGCAAGAAACATGATTGATTTACCTTACGTGGAGCAGTGATCTTTTTCAGTATTTATGTAAAGTGTTTTTATTGACTGCAGCCAAAGTCCATTTCAGTTTAAATTGGGAAGCATGTTTATATGCATGGTCAGTGGTAGTCTTATTTTTTAAAAAAGTTAGAATTGTCTCCTCTTTGAGTCTGTGTATATTTTTGCATCTCTGTGAATACCAGAACAGATTACTTTTTCTATGTGAAACCATAGTTTTCACCAGTAGCTGCGGACAAGTTATAAGTACTTTTGATGTACCCTGAGTGCAGTATGCCTACTTATTGTGAGAATAGGTCAGAGTTTCGCTCAAGTCATTTTGACAGGAGATGTAGAACATGCACATTCTTAAGTTTATAAATATGCAGGTTTTAGATGTTTGTTTTGCTACTTCTCCCCCCAAAAAATCTTACCTGATGTTATTGATCAAGCACAGTTTAGATGGTGTTTGATAACTCTGTTTCTGTCAGTACACTTTCAAAAATATGGGAATATGCAAGTTAATTCTGAGAGAAGAAGTCATTACAATGTTGAAGTCATCATTCTACACTTAGAGTCTATTGGAAACAAATCAGTGTTATTCTAAGGTGTGGGTAGGCAAACTAAGGCCCGGGGGCCAGATCCGGCCCAATCGCCTTCTAAATCTGGCTCACGGATGGTCCAGGAATCAGCGTGTTTTTACATGAGTAGAATGTGTCCTTTTATTTAAAATGCATCTCTGGGTTATTTGTAGGGCCTGCCTGGTGTTTTTACATGAGTAGAATGTGTGCTTTTATTTAAAATGCATCTCTAGGTTATTTGTGTTCACAACCCCCCCCCCCCCAAAAAAAAATAGAGAGAGAGAGAGAGAGAGAGAGAGAGAGAGTCCGGCCCTCCACAAGGTCTGAGGGACAGTGGACCGGCCCCCTGCTGAAAAAGTTTGCTGACCCCTGTTCTAAGGTCTTGCAAAACTGTCAGAATTGGAGAGTTGATCACCTTTGTTTTTAAACTCCTTGGCTGCTATGTTGGAGAGTTTATATTTATGCACCCTGATCCCATCTGCCTGGAAGTGTCCAGTCAGCTATCAGTGAGCAAGTGTGTTTTCAGATTGCGGTTCTAAGAATGAGATTTTCTGCTTAGTCCTGTCAGAGAACAAATTAAATGAGTTTCTCCGTTTCATAGGATGCTATCGTATTGGCTCATGCTGTCATTATGTTCAAAGGAAAATGTGCAGCAGTGTAAAATAACTGAAAAAGGGGTGTACCAATTTTTGGAAATTTAGCTGAACTACCCAACCTCCCTACTTACTTTTTCCACTTGAGCTTATTCCTAGCTCTCAGAAGGTATTATTTCTTATTTATATCTATGTTATCCAGATGGGAATAGAATAGAAAGGCTTTCTTTGGTCTTGCACGAAAAGTTGACATCTGTTACACTTTAAAGCAGATTTCTAAGTGAATCTGAGCAAACTAGAGTGAATCTGTAATCCTAATAAGAGGATGAACTTGAAATAATGACTTCGTTTTTAAAGAGAAATACCTCTCAGTTTATTTTTCAAACAAGTTAGTAAAGAAGGCTTAAATAGCTAAGGAGAAAATAAGTGTAGCATAGTGGTCTTCTATCTAATAAGCTGGAAGCATTTTAGTCCGGTGCAATTGCACAAATCATGACATGTTTTGGGGCTGGAGTGATTTAATGGAAAATAGATTTAGTAGAAAGTGCTAAATTTCCAAATGCACCCTTTTAAGGAGTGTAAAGCCTGGCCCTCAAACTAGATCCTATTAACCATACAGTGAGTCTTGCTGCATTTGTACATATGAGTCTAATATATCAGCAACAATAATGGCTTTGTATCACTGAAAGAGGAATAGTGGGAGATGTTTACTGTATCTTTCCCACAAATCTTTGATCAAATAAAAATGGCTCTGTTCCCTTTCTCTGCCCATCATTTGCAGAATGAATGAATGAACCCAGGAGATAATGTGAGAAACTTCTTGTAGGGATTTTATTCTAAATTACAGCTTGCAATTTTCAGACCAGATAATTACAAGCAATATTTTGTGTTTTATGTAAGAAGCACTGAAGTGTGTTTACAGTTCCATGTAAAATAGTACCAAGGTTCAAACTCCTTGGAAATTTCAAACAAGGCTTCATTCAAATTACCATGCTTGCTTGTATTAGTAGAAAGTAAACACAGGCATCGGCTTTTATGACTGAGGGTCACTACTGAACATATAATAATATAATATTTGCATTGTCAGTTCACTAGATGTTATTCAGTTCCGAAATAGAAATGCATAGAGCCATTTCTGAGTGGCTTTAAGCCACTCACATCTTTTATTTCCTTGCTACACAGCCACAATAGACTCAGCCTTTTCAAATGTTGTATATGTGCACGGGAGCGTTTCTGTTGCTAGGAAAAGCCACAGCTTCAGACATGCATGCAGAAATTATATTCTTTGTGTGTGTTTCTTAATGAGTGAACTTTCCAAGGTTCAGTTCGGAATAGGCTTGCCTGGAATAGTCCTTAAATTTCAGATTGATTTGGAATGAGCAGAATTGGATCATCTTAAACTTGGGTACAGTGGTACCTCGGGTTACATATGCTTCAGGTTACAGACTCCGCTAACCCAGAAATAGTGCTTCAGGTTAAGAACTTTGCTTCAGGATGAGAACAGAAATCGTGCTCCAGCAGCGCGGCAGCAGCAGGAGGCCCCATTAGCTAAAGTGGTGCTTCAGGTTAAGAACAGTTTCAGGTTAAGTACGGACCTCCGGAATGAATTAAGTACTTAACCCGAGGTACCACTGTACATTGTTGTGGTCTATTGTGACAGTGATTAAATCTTGGAGGCCTTTTGCTGCAACCCCAAACACCCCTTTATACAGGGAAGGATGATTAGGTAATGTCCATCTCCCTACCTACATATTTGGACCTTCTCTCATCCAAAAGGGAGTTGCCCCTATCTATAAGCATTTCTTTTGAGGAGCCACAGTAGAGTTGGAAGAAGGAGGGGGGTAAAATGGCTGTGGAAGCTGAGTAAGGGAAAATGGGGTAGGTCCAAGTAAATTTTGGTTGGCATCTTCTAGGTTTAGAGACGTTGACCATCCCTGCTGGAGTAGCATTTCGTGATTTCCCCTCCTGTTAACATAATTCATAAGGTATAGCCAGAATTCCACTACTCTACAATGTATTCTTTCTGACAAAGGCGAAGAAGTCAAATTGGATAAATGCTTGGAGTTGTTCTTGTTTCCGCATTGGTGTGGAAATGGAAGGAACCACTTTACAGCTTTGTCAGAAGAAAACCTGCATCTCAGCATGGCTTACTAAGTCTGACTCTTCCATCCTGTACAATATTATATTATATACTTTACAGGTACAGTCGTACCTCGGCTCCCGAACGCCTTGGGAGGTGAACATTTCGGCTCCCGAACGATCGAAAACCGGAAGTGAGTGTTCCAGTTTTCGACTGGAAGCCAAATGTCTGATGGGGCTTCTGCGGCTTCCGATTGGCTGCAGGAGATTCCTGCACGACTGTACTCTGTTTAGGAAAAGGTGCCGTTTTATAACTATACAGTGGCAATTCTCAGAAAATACCCTAAATAAATATTGCTCGGTCCATTCTGCTTTATCACATTCATGGTAGCATTGAAATACATTCAAAAGAAGCAAATAGAACTTACCCTCTTAAAAATACATGTATTAGGCAGGCTCCTGCAATAGACCTCTCTGCTTTAAGGAGTGTATTACTGAGAAGAAGCTTCAGCAGACTAAAACTGGATTCTAGGGTGTGCATGCACACGAAAGCTCATACCAATAACAAACTTAGTTGGTATCTAAGGTGCTACTGGAAGGATTTTTTTTATTTTGTTTCGACTACGGCAGACCAGCATGGTAACTGGATTCTAGGGTGTTCTTTTTATACTTCAACACTTTTACCATTGTTTTGTTTCGTAGCTTTAGGCAAACTTGTATGTATCTACTTGCTGTGTCATCTTTGGTGAGTAATAATTACCTATAGGTGAGTAGACAAGGGTCCTGTTTGCCTATCTATTGGAGCAAAGGTCTATCTTTAGGTGAAAGGGAAGGCTTTCCCCCCTAAATTGTAGAGGCTGCTGTTTTTTCCTTCAAGTCACCAACACACAACACATTAGTTACAATGCAGAGGGGCTAGCAACTTTTGTGGACTTGTGTGAGATGCTTTCTTCTGGTTCACAGTCCTGAAGACGGTGGCCTGACTGGAGCTTGTGTGTGTCCAACTCTACAAAAACTGCAGCCTTTTATCAATGAGCTTGCATGACAGGAGTGCAGTTAATTGAAGAGTTTACCGTTCCGTCATTTTTAATTGCTTTCGAGGGAATGACTCTTCTAGATTTAATGAGTGGATGCTTGTCGCACTTTTTGCCTTGTTGAATAGATAATTAAGACCACTGAATATTCATGTAGATGTTTAAAAACCTGCCTTGTTCTGCTGCTTCCCCAAAGCATTAGTAATATAGGAACACAAAACCACTATTGGAAGGAAGCTTTCTCATGCTATTCACTCCTAATTACTTTATCTGATAATTCTGTTTACTTTTAACTAGGTACTCCAAAGCAGATGTTTCTAATAAGTAGTATGCATTGTTCTATATGAGGATAACAACTAGTTGTAATAGCACAACCTGTTAAATCTATTTTCTTTCCATTCACTGCATCAGCAACAAAAAACCTGCAAGCTTTTGCTGAAGATTCAGTTTTCTGAACTCTGTGGGTTGTAATGATTTTTTTAAAAAGAAATCTTTTGCTGTGCGGAATAGCTGTGGAGAGTTAAATTTCACTTTGCCTTAATCATCATTTTGCCACCAGTGGTGAAAATAAATGAAAATCCTTGTAGAA